TGCTGAGCCACTACCAAAACTAAATGTTAAAACTGAACAAATGTATGGAAAAACAGCTGGACAAAATGTTTATGACCACTCTCGTCATATGTGTTATATGAAGATGTCCATTTCAAATGTCACCCAATTGTGATAATTTCCTTAAAAGCCAATTGCTGCTCATACTTAAAATATGGAGATTGCATGGCCAATTTCATGAGTTGGCTTAAAGCCTTTGATTTGTTGTTGCTATTGTTGTTGTTTTCAGTAATTTTACAATAGTCACAGGAGATTCTCTAGGAAATACTCAGTTCTGGGATGGTTTACAGGGAACACTGATTCAGGTTAGTTAAACCACAGCACATGAATTGTTGTACTTGAGATATGTAGGAACAAAGCTTCAGTAATTAATAGCAGCATGCAATATTACTGAAAGCATTAATCAACACATCTCACTTCTGGTCCCATTTAAATTTGATTTGTGATTTGCATTTGCTCTTCTTCATTGGATAATTTGCTTTTAAGGAATGCGAAAAGATCGAAGTAAACAAACACTTCCTTACTGTTCCTATGCCAAACATCTTGCATGGGCACTGAAGAAGAACTATATACTGTGTAGTCTAAGTACTGGTGGCTGCTTTTACAGCTTGACAAGGATTATAGATCTTAATTTTGTAAAAGAATAAATTTTGTTTTCCTTCTGTGACTAAATAAGTCGTTGCTGCTGCTGTTACCTTATATGGCATTCAACATGTTGTGTATGTGGTTGCAAATTCTTTCAGAGTTTCAAGGGACATGTGGCAGATGTACTTGCGGTTTGTGTAAATAAGGTTTGTACCACACATTTATGACTTTACAAGAGCTCCAGGTTTTGTTCTCTCTGTTGCAAATAATTTTGCTTTCTATCAAACTTTGTTTTTTCTGCTGAAAAGTTAATATCAAGAACTACAGCGAATCTCAGAGCCAGTCGTATTTGCATTTACATGTAANTAGTAATGCAAGTAATGTTATTTGATTGGCTGAGCTACTCATACATTATCAGCCATTAGTATGCAGTGGCGTGAGTTTGTCCGCATAATTACGATGTTGAAAGGTTTCTTTGATGTTGTGAGGGAGATATCTGATTTAGAAATATTATTGAATAATTCAATTCCCAAGGATACAAAAGAAAGGAAATTGACCATAACACTTCTTATAAAACACAAAATTTAGTCGCAGGCGACTGCATGTTTTTAATGAAAATTCAGTCCACGTGATTTTGCTAAACTGTGAAGTTTAATACTACGTTGAAAAATGATTGGAAACCGCTATTTGAAGGAAATTTAGTCAGAATTCTAATAAAACAATTAGATAACTTGCTTTCAATTTCATTGAGGTGATAATCAAACTCAATAGAAACATGGAAAATTTTGGTTATTTCTTAAATGTAGTCAAAGTGAGTTTTTGATGCTTCTCAATCTCTGTAGCCTGTTGCCTTGTCAACGCTTTGCTCTGTATATTGTATGGAGTAGTACTGCTAACGACCAGTTTTTGTTTTTTTCCAGGGTGATTATCACATTGTGTGCAGTGCTGTTTCATCATGTGCTAGTTGGGCAGCCTTTTCAGATGTTTATCATATTAGTTTATTTAAGCTGAATTTGGTAAGTTTTGGATGTTGTTAATGGAATATGCCTTATTGCTAATTGTTCAAAATCTCAAAATAGTATGACAGATGAACCCTTGTTTCTGAAACTATCAAGGGAAATGAAGGGGGTCCACATGACTGATAGTAAATGACTCACAAAACATTATAGGGTTCACCAATGATTTGATTTGGACATAACCTAAGCAAGACAGTTAGTGAATTAACTCAGTTAGGATCATTTATACATTCATTATATCTTAATAGGCCTGAAATGGATTCTTTTGTTCATGAACTATTAATTATTGCTAGTGTTGTTTAATCAGTTTTATTTTAAAATCATTGCAAAAAAAATGTTCACCGAAGTTTTCTATGCCTAAACCCTTGAACAATACAAGAGGTGTTGTAGAAAAAATCTGAACTAGAAATGTATAATGTGCACAAGATATTTAACATGACATATAATTCAGTATTTAAAAGCATTTGACCATTATCCAACCGAACCTTTAATAGTGTATGATGTACAAATTGGAACATGTTCTCTTACCTCTTTTATCTAGGAATTTCTAAATACCTTAGCATACAGTTATCATCCTGTTAACCAGCTTTATAATGTCATGCTAACATGGCATTTTGTACCTTGCTAGAGAAAATTCAGCCAATCAGAATACTAGAAAGCTGTTGTATAAGCGAGGTTAAGTGCTTTTTAAAAGTAAGAAGTCCACTGGACATGTTGTATTTGAGATGCTGCTTGGTTCTGCAGTCCTTGTTCACTGTCAATTGTAGTATTTCTTTATCATTAACTGGCAATTTTTCTAACGATCAAATACTTCCGAACACTTTAAGTAAGTTTTTTGATAGGGCAGTGAACTACAGAAAAGTGTTACCAGAAGTGTGAAATGCTGTTTATTTCTCGTTATTTTTCTAGAAGAAAGAAGGCAATTCTCAAGGAACAGTAACAAGAGTAAGTGTCTGCTGGTATTGTGATTGTTTTCAACAACTAGAATTTCAAGGGGTTGGAAGTTCCATGAAAGAGAACATTTGCTAATATAGCACGCGTGCTGGTCCTATCTAATTCCTATCGAGCCATCGTGGTTGAAATCTCTATATACACACCGCCGTGCGTATATATAACATGACGTGTGCAGTTTCATTTTAGCTGCAAAATTTCCGTCGAGTTTAGCTGCCAGCCGTTCCTTTTATTAAAGTTTCAAAAATGTGAACATCATTCTGAACAATCCAAACGCTACTTCAAGCATTTGACTTTTGCCAATCTAAGATGTTTACTAAAACTTGAGTATTTTGACTTTGTTTTTCTACATTTTAATTGTAATTCAGTTGAAGAAGCGAATTTTTCATTGACAATTTCCAAATGAAGCGTTTTCGTTCAACTGTTGCTTAAATGGTTGTGACGTGTTTTTTCAGCAGGCAATAGGATCCTTTGTTTTCCTTCACCGTGCATCGTGAGAACATTGTTGTCAATCACAAATAAAACATGTTTTAGCGTCCAAGTTGTTGTCGATATATTATAAAAGAACAGACCAATTTCGTATTCCCGGCATTGGACTGGAACGAGCTTGTAATGGAGGCTTATGCGGGGAATATCGTTAAAAAGATATTAATGTCATTTGAATTTAAAAACAAGAAGAAGAAGAAGAAGCAGCAGCAGCAGCAGCAGCAGCAGAAGAAGAAGAAGAAGAAGAAGAAGAAGAAGAGGAGAAGAATGACTTTATTATCGTGTCAATTACATCTAGCATTGGAGAATACCCACTGCTAATAGAGGACACCTAACTAGAACTATCTAAAAATAATATACAGAAAAGTCCTATACGAGAAATTGAAATTATAAGTTACAAAGATGGCAGCCAGTACATCCATCTAGGATGTTGCCTAGATCTAGCCTCCGTACGTGGGTTTTGAACTGCTTGAGATTTACATTTGAAAAGACTCCCCGTGTTAGCCTCAGTTTCAAGCTGCGCCTCGAGCAACTCTTCAAAACTTCCCAGGTGCATTCATAACTCGATATACGTACGCTAAGTATGAACAATCTCTTTAGTTGATTATTTTCATTACAACATTTTAATAACTTTTATTTTATTGATGTAGGTTTTGCCTTTGCCTGTTGATTTATTACCAGCTCGTCGACTAGTTTTTTCTCCTGACAGTTCAAAGCTAGTTTGTGCAACAAGTGAGGGCTCAATTCAGGTGAGTGTTGATCAGTTTGCTAACGAGCTGCAGTGAGGGTGAATTGAACAACACTAAAATGTATTGTATCTGTTTGGTACCTTCTAATTGGCTTGAGAAAGATGTTAATAAAATACGGGGACCCACATTTTTTTAATTTCAAAATTTAAGTTCTCTTAATATGAGCAACAAACAGGCCAAATTTGCATGAAATTCTTTGTTGCATTCTATTTCAAGTACGTCTANCCCTCTCTCTCCATGCCTGAAGGTGTCCGTACGCCTATGCTTTGGATCAGGAAACTGAGGAACAAATTAAATCAGCGAAAAACAAAATTTGGAATAAAAAAGCAAAGTATTTTTTCCAGAGGCTAACAAAACTGCACGACCCTGTAGTGCTTATTTACTCCAAATAGCACAAGAATAATCATGTGATTACCTATACTTACTTATCCACATGAGAGATAATCAGTAGCATTGAGTTAGCCATATCCAAACATGGAAAAAGTATTTCATAATTTAGGAATCCACATTAAATGACAAATTACTTGTTGTGAAAGTGGTAGGCTTGTAAGTTGCTTTTTACCATGGCAACCATATTACTATTTGGAAGAGTTTTAAGCTTTGGAGCCCTTTGAGTTCCACGTCCAAGACAGTTCATCCTAATACAACATAACATGTGTTCCTTATAGTTTGATATTGTTCAGTGTTCAATTGTACAGTGTACAGGTTCAAACAAAAAGAGAAGAACTTACTTACTTTTTTTGACTTGACTTTCCAGATCCTTCCGCATACATGCGATAACTTAAAACAAGGACACAGTGTTAATATCTTGATGTCAAAATATGAATATAGCAACATTATTAATTTTGCAAAAATGTTCAGTAGCATTGATTATTCCTTCAGATTCAAGTGCAATTCATGAGCTTGCTGTAAGCAGTGACCTCCACTGGTTAGCATGTGTGGATTGTAACAATACTTTGAACATATTCAGCTTGACCAAACTGAAGGTACTGTCATTCTTTCTTTTTAATTCTTTCTTCCTTGGTACACTTGCTGTCATCTTTGCTAAATTCTGTTTTATTTAACAGTTACAGAGCACCTTACCTCAGTTGGAATCTCCTGTAACCGCAATAGCTTTTCAGCCCAAAACAAACTATCTGGCTGCGATCTGCTGCAATAATCAGGTTAGTTTATTTTGATGCAGATTTTTTTTCCACCAGCACCAGTGAAACATGCCAAAAGTTGAAACTCAAGAGATGTTTATTTCAGAAACACAGACTTTATGTTTTTGTTGATCGGTAAATTTTTTAATAATCAAAATTATCTACAATGATGTGATTGCTATCGTGACTCCAGTGCCGACACATTGGGTTTTTTTCACTGCACGGCTTGCGGCATTGCTGACGTAAAAAGTGATTGGCATTGTTTGGAATCAGATCAAAAGATAACAAACTCTGTTAAATTGCGGAAGCTTTCTTATTAAGGTGGCTCAAAATAGTTTCCAGCACTTTCCAAGAACTAGATTTTGATGAGTCATCTTAGCTTTAAGGACGTTCGCGCACATTGTTACTGCGCAAGTAATTCAGGTCGCAACGACGAAACATCTGTACAAATAAATGAATGATTAGTTTTCTTGCAACTGATAAAGGCGATATACGATCCAGCTTCGAAAGTCAAAAGGCGACCTTGCAGTTATTAAATCGTCAAATACAAAAATGTCTTCGTCTTCCACATTTAAGGCAAAGGACATTGGACTGTGAGTTGAGAAAAGAAATCCTGACACTTTCAAAACAACGGTATTTCGCAAAACTGGTTTTCTCTGAATGAGTGACAAAAATCGGGAGAACACGACGCATGAAATCACAGGCGGACCACCCTGTGTGTTCGTGGCTAATAATTGTTTATATGAAACGATCAGAATCTATCAGGGTTATGAATAAAGCTCTGAAAATTGCATATCTAAATTACATCTTGGTCTGAATATCCTAATAAAGTTAAATGAAAAGTTTATCGACTCGTGTGGTGTTTTTTCGCTTTCCTGGGCCGACCAAAAGTAATTTCGTAAAAAAAAAACGCTTCAGACGGCACAGGAAGGCGACAAAACACCACACGAGTCGATAAACTTTTCATTTAACTTTATTAGGATATTCAGACCAAGATGTAATTTAGATATGCAATTTTCAGAGCTTTATTCAGAACCCTCATAGATTCTGTTCGTTTCATATAAACAGTTGTTAACCACGAACACATAGAGTGGTCCCCCTGTGATGAAATAAGTCAAAGAGAAAACGTTCATTGACCAGAAAATAATATCTGAATCACATATCTGAATAAATTCACATAAATCACATGTCATATATCATACCACATATTCATATAAATCACATATTACATAACTCAATAAATTTAACAACATTGTTGATTAGGCAAATCAAGCACGGACCAAAGGAAGGTTATTTTACAAAGACTAATCGATGTTGTCGATAGGTGTACATGTTCAAGCCATCAAGTGGAAAGTTAACAAATTGGTCAAGACAAGCTGCAGAACACGGTCTACCAAAACAGTGGACTGAACGTCGTTCTAAAGTCATCAACATCCAGTTTAATCCGTCCTGCCATGAGCTTATGATGCTACAAGATCATTCCATGTTTACCATTCTGGATCTGAGAGAGGTAGCATTCACACTTTATCGTCATTTCGAATTTGTGAAGACGCTGGACGTTTCCATCCTCAGAAGGGAAAATAGAATCATGCAATTAACTCTAAATAAATAACACACTATGAACAGTATGTNATTAGAAATTAGAAATTACCAGTTGTCAGTAATTTTACAAACCAAACCAATGTGCAAGGACAAGAATGCAATCACTGGCTTTAAGCCGAACGTTACATCATGACACTAACTTTTAGAGTTTACTCAGCGCTTCCAGGTCCTTACAACATCAACGTTAAATTATACTAACTTATTAAAACGACTGTCCTCTGCTCATCCTGTGTTGTCAGTTGAAGCTCTCTCAAACAGTTGCTAGCAGCCGCTTGTCATACTCACTTTGCTATCTATTTTGTAGCCTTTGCCAGACACGGAGGTAGTCCTTTATGAGTCAAGATTAGTACAACGACAGAAAAGAACTATGAATCAAGAAGATTTAGTTGAGTCTGATCAAGAAGAAACAGCATTTAGAGTTTGTAGGAGATATGGGGTGAGTAGTGCACACATGAATGGTGTCATTGTCTCACTGCCACGTTATCGATATTTTCTAAATAATACAACACAATTACCTCACTTAGACACGAGGAATTCAAAACTTTTTAGCTTTGGGATAATTGATAGCAGGTTTAATAGCAGAGACTACAGACTAAACCGAATAAATATATAAATATTTTTTCTGGATTCCCAGAGGTACACACGTACTGATTCGATAATTGATAGCTTGCAGATGTTTTAAGATCCTTGGCCAGTGTATTCCACGCACACAAGTATTTTTGCCAAAATTACTTCTTTCAATAGAGGATAATGTGTGAGGTTATAATATATCGATCTTTACAGCAGATAACGATGTTCATCACATTTCATGTTTTGTCTTACCATTTCAGCCACTGCTTTATGCCGGTTTCACAGAAGACAGCTCGTTAGTTGTGGTGGAGAGGCCTTGGCGAGCTATCCTGGATATGCTGCCTCCGCCACTTTATCGAAAGAAATATGGAATGTAACAAGAGTTGGATCAAGCACTGATCTGTAATGTGACTGAGCACCCTGAATTGTTGACAAGATGTTAGTTGAAAAAAAAACAGTGCCTTAATTTATAGCAAAAACTATGTTCGGGAGAACTGCAAACGGCAAACGCTAGTGATTTTTGAAAAGTGTTCCTCGTCGAAGGTGATCGTCCTTAGCGATCAAGGATTCACCCATGGTGCTTAAAGAGCATTCCTTCACACCAGTAAACTATGGACCTTCGAGGTAAAGACTTAAACTTCGATTTCCAAACAGTTGTGTTTCGTGAATGATATAATAAAAATGCCGTCTTGACCTTGTGGTCGCACAACGTGTTAACTTTGTTCTTTTTATTTCCAACCTGTTTCCTAAATCAAAATCAAAGAGAACTCAGGCTTTTGCCTTCCAGGTGGATTTCTAAACTTAATTGAAATAAAACATTTGGAAAGTTAAATTATAGGCCGGATTAATTTTAAGACCAGGAGAGAGTCTCTTTACAACTGAACAGATTGACGTCAGTTTTTCATGCGTCTGTCCTGTTATTGATCATGAATTTCGTCATAACATTGTCCAAGTAGCTGTGGATCACCAGGCGATAGCCAAGTGGATCCGCAGACTACTTTGACAATGTTACGAAGAAATTCATTGTCAATAACAGGACAGACGCATGAAAACTGACGTTAATTTGTTTTTTACAATAAAAAATTGTCAAAATGTCCGCTCATCGCATAAATCATAAATTCAGGTGTCTGTCCGCGTATTGACAATGAAAATTAGCCAATGAGCGCGCGAGAATTTCTACATTTATCGTAATAAATGCTATTTCGTGTAGGTAATTGAAGTATTTGAAGTTTGGGTGTTGTTACGCCTTTTGCCGCATACATACCAGTCTCTGCATTTTATTTGATAGATATCATTCGTGGACACAACCTCGTTCCCAGAGTGTCTCTTCTCTCCTCCCCTCGCTTGTTCAAGGGGGGAGGGGGGGGGGGGGCAAGAATAGTATTACACTCCCATTCACACTCAATTGAAATACGATATGGGAATAACTGACCAGCGGACTAAGCCAAGATGGGACAGTTTGGCTTAGGGGAGGTCGAGTCTAGAGGTACGACCCACGCAATGAGGGTGGGAGAGTGGGCCGTTCCCTGATACGCGCTCCGCTGGAAAACCGAGCGTAAATGGAGTAAACAAGTCGTGTCGGTATTTATTACAGAGCTCTTATGTTACTAATGCCAAGAGATAACTGCAATGTTGTTACGTATTTCAACTTTCCGTATCATTATGAGTGTTGTGAACAGAGACCGCAATGATTTCAGATCTAGTTGTATGGTATAAATGAGATTTTACTGTCACGCCAGTAAAATATAGTTAATGGAGCGTGACGTACGTTCTGAATGAGCCGTTCATGGCGGCATCACTTTCTATAGAGCTGTTGAGCAGTTATATTCCAAAGGTCAGCAAACTGTAAGCCTTATTGTAGCTAAACCTAAAACATTGTACCTTTGTTACCTTCTGAACGTTATAACGTACCATAGCATTGGTGCAAAGCATTAGAGCACTATTCATGTTTAAGATGTTACACGTGTTAGGGTAAGCTGTTCGGTAGTACAGCCTTTTCTACTGG